TCTGCCTTGGGCTACCCTCAAACACAATTTGCAAATTTCATTTGTTTTGCCATTAATTTAGTACCTATGTGATTTTTGTGAGTAGGAGCAGGATGACTGGAGCACATTCTATCCTACACCAGTGGGATGTACACCTACAACACCTATCACACACCAGTGCGAGGATGTCATTCCAGGATGTCATGACACCAGTGGGAGGATGTCATGCACAGGGCAAAGGCATGAGGACAGAGAAAGACAAAGCAGGAGAGGTAGATACATACCTTACAATTTTCCCCCATTGCAACATATTACTCCATGCATGTGTTATCAAGAATAAGGCTCAGCACAACAGCTTATTGGGTTGTAAACTACAGCTCTGTTCCATGCAACAGTTTCCCAGATAAAAGCTAGACTTCATTGACAACTCTCCAAATTTACAAGTCAGAATTCACCTCCATTCATAACTTCTCAATTTGCAAGCAAGAGCTCCTATATAATTCAAAACCTTTCCAATCTGGAAACCAGAGTACTATTTCCAGGCAAAGGTTTTCCAATCTGTACACCAGAGTTTCTATTCCTTGTAAAGCTGAATAATAGAGCCTAACCTGTCATCAGTAAAAGACCAGTGGTATAGACATTATTGAGCTAAATGGACTGGTGGCCTTACACAATATGAAACAGCTTTTTTTTTTGGTTCAACTATCCTTAACCTCTCAATCCAGGCTCTAGGTGCAAAATCTCAATGACAGTAATGTTGCCATAGATTGGGCAGTCTAAAAAACCTGGTAGCATGTAAAAACATATCCTTTAAAACTGTTAAGTCATTGCCCAGTGACTTTTAAAAACATGTGCTGTCTTGCTGAAATTATTATGAATTATCTTTTGTGCAATAAAGTTTGCAATGTATTGCATTACTAAATGTATTGGCAGCAATGTTAAAATCCAGTTAAGGAAAAATAAATAAATAAATAAATAAAATAAACACAGTCTGATGCCTTATCCTTAAGCAACCTCATTATGCAAATAAAAATGAAGTGAGGAAAATCCCAACAGTGCATGAGAATTAACACAATAGATTAATGCCAGAAACACTCATTTTAGACAAGCTTGCTTGCTGTAAATAACATTTACTAGTACATGAAAGCATTCCACTTGCAGGTGTTGGTATACAGTTTTTTTTAAAGATAATTAACACTTCTCAAAGCTATCTCCATTGCCATTAACTGAAAACAGTGTCAACACTTTCAAAAGTGTTAAAATGTACTACTATAAGGTAGGATCATTGTAAAAACAAATCTCAGTACCTTTGAAAATTTATCCTTTAAATATTATCCTCATCACCTAAGGCAGTGATGGCAAACCTATTAGGCATTGAGTGCCCAAAACAAAAAGCCTTCCGACACCAGGTCTTACCCAGTGTTGGAAGTGGGGCTGCTGCCCTCCGGGGGCGGGAATTCTGCCCTCTCCAGAGGCAGCTGAAGGCCCAGGAGGAGGAGGAACAGGACCATGCTTGTTCCTCTTCCTCCCCCTACACCGGCCCTGGCCTTCAGCTGCCTCTCCAGAGGCAGCTGAAGGCCCAGGACAGCCAGGAAGAGGAGTAACAGGCATGTGCCTGCTCTTCCTCTACCTGCCCTCATGTGCTGAACAAAATGGCTTTGCGTACCATCTCTGGCACATGTACCATAGGTTTGCCATCATGGATCTAAGAGGTGTTAAACTTCAAGAATCAGAAAGAATGTATACGATAGGAATAGTAATAACAAAGGAATACACAGGAATAACATAGGAACAATAATAACAAAGAGAAATGCAGATCTCTTTGAAAATAATTACAACAGAGTGTGGAAAGAGATACAAAAAATATAAACCAGTGCTCAAAGCTACAAGTTTCTTTTTTAGGGAGAATTTCGTTAGTCAAAATAAATGTACCTCTTCGAGAACATACCGATAATCCACAGTGAGAAATGTATAAATAAATGGAGAAAGGAACTGAGTAAATTTTTATGGCAGGGTAAAAAATCTAGGATTAAATGGTCCAGCTTAATAGAATCAAAGGAAAAAGGAGGATTTGCCCTTTCAGATCTAAAGCTATATCATTATGCTAATTGTATGACTTAGCTAGAGGAGTGGATAAAGCTTGAAAATGAAAACTTACTATGTATAGAAAGTGATAATACTGAATTTGGATGGTATGCTCTCCTGTGGTATGAGAAGCTAAAAATAACAAAAACTTTGAAAATCATTACATCATGAAGTCTCTCCTGGCTTCATTCTTCTCTCCTGGCTTCATTCTCTCTCTCTCTCCCCTCCTCCTCCTCCTCCTCCTCTCTCCTGGCTTCCTTCTCTTTCTCC